CCCCCCCCCCCCATGAACCCATGGACCTTGTTTTTGATACGAAAGGCAGCTTTTCCCCCGAAGTGTATTACGTTTTGCTTGACTTGGTTATTGGTATGTTTTTTTCTTCTCAAAGAGAAATTATCTTTACGTTGTCAAATGTATCAGTTTCCTTTTTAAAAATAGCTTCTGGGCTTTAGATCTTGATTTAAAAAGCCACCCCCAGTACAAGATTGTAAAGTATTTGCCTAGGTTTATGCTGCTTTTGGGTTTTCATTCTTTTTAATGTTTAAAGCTTTGATCGATTTGGAGTCAGTATATTGTGTGCAGGACATGAAGTACATCTCCTACTATATATTTTCCCAAAGGCTTTTCTGTATTCCAACATCATTTATTAAAAAGTCCATCTTCAAGCCAATGATTTGAGAGCGTTTTTGGTATTACGTTAATTTCCCATAAGTATCGGGCCTATTTCTGGACTTCCTGTTGAGTGCCATCCTTTGCCTATATGTTCACATGTGCACTCTACAGGCGTCTCCGTATGGAGGCTTTATATGTTTTAATAGCCAATGTGGATAGTCCTACTTACCACTTTTCCCCCCCCAGAATTTTTCTGACAATGCTTTTTTTTATTTTTCTCGTAATTTTAGAATTAAGCATATTTTAATATCAGTGTTGGGTTAGTTTTTAACTTAATTTTAGGAAAATTTACCTCTGCCTCTTAGAATCTCTGATTGATCTTGAGAACTGAGTTGACATAAGACGACAGGAGAAAAGCGTACAGGTTTTATTTTTACATGTACGTGGGAGCCTTCACAGGAAATGAAGACCCCCAAAGTGATTAGGCCTAAGTGGTTATATATTAGATTGAATGAAAAACAGTAATTGTGGAAAAGTAACTAAAATATATGAGGAGGCTAAAGGAAGAGAAAGGTTATTTATTTATTTATTTATTTATTTATTTATTTATTTATTTATTCATTCATTCATTCATTCATTTATTTGGGTTATTTTAAATAAGACCTGTTGGTACAGATTTCTCTCTTACTCAGCTCCCCATCTCTGGTAATAACGGTGGCCTTTTCCTCCTGGTACAGGGGAGCATCTTTCACATAGGAGTTTGATCTGCTTTCAGGAAGAAAAGAGGAGGTTAGGGAGCCCTTCCCTAACCTTTAGCTCTAAATAATCTAAATAACCTAGAGCTAAGTGCCTTTAGCTCTAAATAACCTTTGTGCCAAAGTGGTACATTGTGGGGTGACATATTCTGCTCCATTCATTGTAGTCTTTTTGTCATTTTTTTTTTTTTTAGTGTTTCAAAGTTTTCTTCACATAGATTTTGCATTTCTTGAAGCGTTTTTACCTAGATATTTCATTTTTGCCATTTTAAATGGATCTTTTCTTCCATTATGTATTCTCACTGCTTTTATGTGTGTGTATATATATATTATTAATTTGGTTCTAGTGGTTACCTTTATACATTTACATTGATGTAATATCATTATTCCCCTTTATCTTTAGGCAGTTTAAATTTGTTCCCTGTTTTCTCTCGTAAGCTACTTGTAGGAGTATAAATTCGTACAACCACTTTAGCAAACTGTTTCGAGATATTTACCAAAGCTGAACAATTTCTAACTACATACTCAACAGAAATGAGTTTGCTAACAAGAGACATTTACAAAAATATGCATAGCAGCATTCTTTATAACAGCCCCAAGCCAAAAACATTAGAGTGGATTAAAGTACACTGTGGCTATACATTAGAATACAATAGGGCAGTGGCAATGTACATGATATTGCTACATGTACAACACGGATACATCTCACAAACAAATGCTGAACAAACGAAGCCAAACACAGGCAAAATTGGTTTATCCTGTTAGAAGTCAGAAGAGTAACCACCTTTGGGGATGATTAGACACCAGTAAGGGACAAAAGGGGGCTTCTGGGATGCTGGGAATGTTTTGTTTGTCTGGCTGATTATGGGAGTGTGTTTATCTGGTGAAAATATACTGAGCTGTGCACTCAGGATTTATTCATGTTCTATGTATTTTATAGTTTAATAGAAGTTTTCTTAATGTCAAAAAAATTGTATTTCTTGTTATGAGCAACAGTAACCTTACACTGTGTTCTCCCTCCCTGAACCCACCCTGCTCTGTCTTTTCTACCAGTAAATTTATGTCACTTGTGTTATCTTAGGTTCATATTGAACATTACTGTTAAATAGTCATAGATGCCTGTAACTTGATCTCACTCCCAACTCTTGCAGATGTGGCAACAAAGGAGTTGCTTTTGCTGCAATTTCCCTTGTCACAGTGTGGCTGACTATAGTTTGCCTTCTGCTGGTTTCCTGAAAGAAAAGCTCCGAGTGGAAATTAATAATTAAGTGCTTGCAGGTTCAATACTATCTGAGGCCTTGGTACTTAAGCGATAGCATGGCTGGATATAAAGCCCTTGGTTCATAATTTCTTTTCTCGACTGTCTTAGAGATATGGCTGCATAGCCTTCTTTAGCGGATGTCGGTGTAGAGAACCCTGGTGCCCACCTGGAATTCTCATTCTTAAACGTGACTTGGTCTTTCTTTGGCTGCCCGTAGATATTATTCTTTACCTTTGACACCTAATAATACTACTCTTAGTTGTTTTGATCCAAACCACTTTGTTTCATTTTTGTTGCTATGTGATACACAATTTTAAAATGTAGATTAAGGTATTATTCTACTTTTGTAATGTTTACTTGAAACACATTTAAAATCGCTGTTCTATTCTTTTCTGTGTCCCTTCTTCGGGTTGTCCAGTTAAGTGCACGTTCATTCTCCTCTGCTTGTTATCTATGTCTCACATTTTTTCCTCTATTCTTTTTTGTTATTGTCACCATTTCATTTTGTTTGATTTTCTCATGTTTATCCTAGCTCCCTTCTTCCGAAGAGCTGCTAAGAAGGAAAGGGAAAAGATTCAGCGCTATGGTGCTGTTGGAACATGGATGTGTTCCTATTGGAATTACCAGAAACAGTACTTTTCACTTGTTCTCCTGGCTAGGTTAGAAAAAAAGGGCATTTTAAAGATATTTCAAAATAAAGATGTGTTTAATTCTCACTGTATTTTATCTTATGGAAAGATTACTTTTCTTTAAAAAAAGATTTATTTTCTTTAAGCTATTGTTAAATAAACTCTGGGGACTCTGAAATTGTTGAGCGTAGCATTTACGTTAGGGTTCAATCATATTGTAGGTAATTCCTTGAAAAATTTGAAATCATGCTAACGATTTGTTTTTTTCTGTTACCATAATGTATAAAAGGCAGAAAGCTTAGAAACCGTCAAAAGCATAAAAGTGGGGATTGTGAACAGAGAGTTTATGGTGTATGGGAAAGGGCAAGAGTCTGGAAATCAAAAGGAAACTGTAAACCAGTAGAGCTTAGAGCCGGTAATCTAGCTGCTACTCTCATCCAAACTGCATAACACATTCAAAGGAGGTTTTTTGCCCTATATTGTTCTTCTTGAACTCTGGATGACTGACATCTAGTTGATGCTCAGTAATAAACTGCAGAACTAAAGAACAAATGAACAAACACACATCTCATTGCTGTAGTGAAATTTTACTCACTGAGGGGCTCCATGGGAAGTGTTATCTGAAAAAACCTTATTTCTTCGATTTTAATATTGAGTAGCAATTCTATTTGTTCAGATGCTTTTATGTAATTTAATGTAGGGTAGAAACAATTCCATTAAAATCTTTTATCCTATTTTATTCAGATATATCTTAATTGGCCCAACCACTAGTTATTGTGAGATCCAAGATAGATCAGTTGGCTGGAGTAATTCTTTCCCACAATGTGTAAGTAAGTAAAGACTTTTTCTGATTTGACTATAAACTTATGCTAAGTTAGGTAATGAACCTCCCGTGCATGTTTGCTGCTTTTTGTGCCCTCTGTGAGACTTTGCATCCTGGAAGTGAGATTTGGAAAGATGCCTTCCCTGATTGTTTTCTCTTCCTCACTTACTCACCCCAGTCGCCCAGTGCAAGCCCCCTCCAGACATCGTCAATGGGAAGCACAATGCTGGCAGTGAAGAATCCTACCCATATGGTTCTTCTGTCACTTACAGCTGTGACCCCACCTTCTCCATGTTAGGCAAAGCTTCCATTTACTGCACAGTGGAAAATAAAACAAAAGGCGTCTGGAGTCCCAACCCTCCTACTTGTAAAAGTAAGTTGCAGTGGAATTGTCAAATCCTCCTTTGAATGTCTCTCTTTTGTTGAAAGGGGTGAGGAAGGTCAGTTGGCTGGGGGAAATGAAATGATTAAAAGACAAACTGCTTATTGCAATGATGAAAGTGATTTATTTGGTCAACCCCTAGCATTATACAGTAACAAACAGAGCCAAGAGCTCATTGGCTTTGCGAAGGAGAAGTTGATTCTCACTCACGCTCAGTCTACTGCATGTCCTGGAGACTCTCTAGGTATTAGTTTAGCAACAAGCTCAGCATCCCAGGTTGATCTTGTGGCACCTCCATAGTAAAAGGCATTTTCACAATGTCTTCAGTAGAGGGAGAAAGAGGAGCAAAGTGTGATCTGGCTTCTTTGAGCTTTGGCTTGGTAGTAACCACATGTCGCTTTACATTGCAGCCTTTAGTCCAAAACTAGTGCTGTGTAGACCCTACCTACCCTGAGGGAATTTGAGAATGTTATCTTTTGTCTGTTCAGGAAATTTTGGCCAGCACTTGTAATATCAACCACATATGCCTATAGGGCAAGATAAACCTACTAAGCACCAGAAGGTCAACAGGGCAAAGCAAGCAGTAATTGAGCTGAAGGATATATTGTGGTATTGCTGGTTTGCTAATCTCCCTTCGCTACTCAGTGCCTACATATCATCACTTACTATTCTGACTCCTCACAGGACACACTCAGATCAGGGGATGAGAGGATGATACAGTTCTAAATGCCTGGAGTTTGTTCTGCAGGAGGTGGGGATGACAGATACTGAGGCTGGAAAGTTAGCAGGGTCAGGTTATGAAGGGCCTTGTGTGTTTCTCTCAAGAGTTCAGGAAGAAGGTGGTAGAGAAACATCAAAAGGCTTTCACCAGGGGATTTAATGTGCTGCATTTTAGAAAGGTACCTGGCTGCAGAACAGCTGACAATTTGAAGCAGGACAAAACTTAACCCGTAGGTACCACCCAGCCAAGAAGTGAAAGTGGCTTCAACTGTAACCATGGCAGTGGGCCTGGAAAGAAGTTGAGGGGTTGTAGAGGAACTAAGGTGGCAGGACTTGACTGACTGCTGGGCGTGGGGAGAGCTTGTTCTTTGCTTGTGAGGGTGCAGATCTCTGAGGCCTTGGCTGCCTCATCTTCATGAACATCGTATACTTACCATTGGCCACTGACCCACCACCAAAATCATCCAGGAAGGTAGGACATTATAAGGGGAGTTTTGGGGGACTTTGAGAATGTGTTTCTTCTAGGGTTATATACGGCTAGTTTTTCTTGAGAAAAATGAGGAAGTTGGAGTTATCCACAGACTGCATTTTACTGAGGCTTTTAAAAGTTGAGATTATATGTATATATGCTTTTTTAAATGTTTTCCTTGTATTTACTTGATATGCACAATATCAGGTTTTTGTGTTATACTTGGAATTGGATTAGCAATAGCAGTGATATCCTTATTGACATTTCTCTTTTATAATCCACTTGTCTTTTCTTGCAATTCTTTAGAAATCATCTGTCCTCAGCCAGATGTTAAAGATGGAAAGGTAATCTTTGGATTTAGATCCACCTACAGTTACAAAAACCCTGTTCAATTTGAGTGCAATAAAGGTTTTATCCTCAAAGGCAGCAGTTCAAGCCATTGTGAAGCAGAAGGCAACTGGAGCCCTCCTCTTCCCGTATGTGAGATCAGTAAGTACGAACCATAAAAGAATTTCAATGTTTGGCATCTAAAGATACCCAGAAATATTGGTGGGGGCTTATTCGTATGCTTAAGCCCACTTGAATCACAGTAAAAATTTAAATTTAGATTTATTATTTTCTTTATTTTTTTTCTTGTTGGACAAAAGGCTGATTATAGAACACTGAGCAAGATCATATAACATCACAAAATAACTGCCACGTGCAGCTGTGCAGGGTGCACACTCCCTAAGGGGAGACGTTAGCACTGGAGACATTGTGGGTCAAAACATTTATTTCAATGATTTTTTTGCAGTTAATAGAAAATTCTCTTGTTCTGACAAAATCATTATATTATGATAATTGTTTTGAAAGATAATAATAAAGTGTCCTGAGGGAAAATATACCATATGATTTTACTTATCTGTGGAATCTAAAGAACAAAGTAAATAAACAAAATAGAAACAGACCCATAGGTACAGAGAACAGACGAATGGTTGTCAGAGGGAATGGGGGTTGGAGGGCCGGGTGAAAAAGATGAGGGATTGAGAAATACAAATTGGTAGTCACAGAATGGTCACAGGGGTGCGAATTACAGCATCAGGAATATAGTCAGTAATATTGTAATAGCTATGTGTTGGGCCTGGTATGTGCTTGAAATATCAGGGGAACTACTTTATAAAGTATATGATTGTCTAACCATTATGTTTTATACCTGAACCTAATAAAGAATAATACTGAATGTGAACTGTACTTGAAAAATTAAAAAATAATATAAATAGTAGTAATGATAACTTGGCACTAGTCTAGGTATACAACAAGAATTTACTCAATGAATCCTCCCAAGAATTGTGACACTATTATTATACTCATTTTATAAATGAGGAGCCTGTTTACCAAGGTTAAGTGACTTGCCCAAGGTCATACAACTAGAAATGGGAGGAAGTCACTTATACCTTATGATCTTACTTTTACCCTTATTAAATGCCAAGAACCTTACAGTGGGAACTTCAGGAATAGCGGTGAAAAGAGCTTGGGAAAACCTCTCTCCGATCTATTAAGTGGCCATAATTAGCAAAGATAACCATTTAAGATCTTTGAAGATTAATCAAAAGAATTACAATAAATTAATAAGCATTAATCTAACAAAATCTATGGAGACTTGGAACAAACAGTGGGAGACCATTACATTAGAGCTAGGATATGTACCCAGTCCCCAAAAGTCTTGTGGGAGAACTGTTTGCAGTTGGCTCATAAATGGCAATTCCCATCTTCCCCAACTTCCTGGGGTAGAACAGCTATTCAGAGTGGATTTGGCTTACAGTGAACATCTTGTGATAGCATTTTCCAAAGCTCCATGCTTCAGGTGGCAGCAGCCAGACATTAGTATCTGTTCCACCACCCTGACCTTCTTTACAGAGGGAGAATCCAAGGTGAGAATCTGGTAATGAATTCAGGTGCCCTTTCCTGCCTTGCAGTGGTTTTGGCAGCCAAGTGTCATCTCCCATCTTCCCCAGCTTCCTAAAGTAGAAGAATTATCCTGGGAAGATTTGTGAACACTGGCAGATCTCATTCTCCTTGGCTCTGGGCTATGGAATATCTATACTTGCTGATGGACATAGCTGGGTGACAGTACCAGTTCCTACCTCCTCTCCCTCTCTCCTGCCACAGCTCCTACACTGTAGGAAAGGTTGCGATGGGCGTCTGGTAAGGAATGAGTTTCTCATGTTCCTCCAACTCCTGATCCATAGCGCAAAGGAGATTTGGAGCAAGCCTCAAAGTGCGTCAATGCCTTGCCCCTGCCAAGGGATCTGACTTTAATTGGACCTGACTGTGAAACAATTTATGCCCCAAGGAAGTTGTCAAAAACAACACAGCCATCAGCTAACAATTAGTGGAGGCTAACAGCTGTCTGTAATACCAATAGAGGCAGACCAGCCAAAAGCTTAGTAAGAAAGAGACAAACGAAAACCAGTTGTCACTGCTGGTAGGCCGTGCTCTCTTGGGAGCACCATTATAGATTGCTCTATAAATTTGGGGAAAATAAACTTAAATGCACTAGTATAGTCAAGTCAATGAACAAATAAGGAGACAATAATAATAACAGGCCTTGGAGATGGGGAAGAGGAATCAATATCCTAAGTTGCTACAATATATTATCTAACATATTCAGTTTTCAACAAAAAATTATCAGAAATGCATAGAAACAGGAAAGAGTGACCCATCCAAAGGAAAAAAAAAAAAAGATGATGATGAAAATTGCCTTTGAGGAGGCCCACATGTTGGACTTAGCAAAAAAGAAGTTCAAAGCAGTTATTATAAATATGTTCAAAGATACAAATGACTAACTAGTGTCACTTGCTTTCAGCCTGTGGAAGTTCCTTTAGTATCTGGTGTGTACACTAATATAATAACGTCTGTCAACTCTATCTGAAAAATTTTTTTAAAAATTAAAATAATAGATTCCTAAAAAAAGAGTTTATATCCACCTGACAGTGAATGCATGGGAATAAACTTAAATATTGCTATGGCAAAGGTTTTTCTTCTTCATGCCAAATTTAAGAGAAATAGCCATTCAGATTCTTTTATTTTTAATGCAATAAGAGCTGATATAGAGATATAATTTTTTATTCATTAGTAGAAATATTTTCAGATAGAACTTGATATTGTTTGATGAAAGAGAAAACATCAGAGGAGAATAAAATGCTCTATTTTCCATATCAGGAGCTTGACCAGCACTACAATGTGGTCTTGCAGTCATACTCGAATACTCTTAGCACTCATTTGCTTATGAATTAAAATAAAAATGCCCAATATTCATATGGTTTTTAAATTGTAACAGATGTCCACACACAAAAATTTTATGTTTAATGTTCACAGCAACATTGTTTATAATAGCCAAACACCCAAATGCCTGTCAGCTCAAAAATAGATAAACAAAAAGTGCTATATTCACACAATGGAATAACATTTGGCAATGGAAATAAATGAAGTACTGATATATGCTATAAAATAGAGGAAACTTGAAAACATTATGCTGAGTCAGTTACAAAAAAACCCCCACATATTACATGATTCCACTTATTTGAAAAGTCCAGAATAGGCAAATCCATAGATAGAGGAAGTAAATTAGTGCCTCCCAGGGCCTGGGGGGATATGGGAATAGGGAGGGACTGCTAATGAATACAGAGTTCCTTTTGGGGTTGATAAAAATATCCTAAAGTTGGATAGTGGGGTGGTTGCCCATTGGATTGTATATTTTAAATGGGTGAATTTTATGTTTATATGACTTGTATCTCAATAAAACTGTTAGAAAAGAACCTTACCCTATATATCATTTAAAATGTCTGAAGAGAAAACGTAACAAACATCCAACTCAGTTGATGTTTGCATGATATTTCCATATGATATGAACCAGTAGTATCAGGAAAGAGTAAAGAAGACAAGACACAAGGTCCACTCTCAAAAGGTGGTTGGAGCATTTTTGCTCTTGATCAGCCCTTAATGAATGTACTCCTGGTGTCATCTGGATGAGGGGAATGGCTTGTTTATTTTTCCCAATAAATAAGTCAGGAAATAAGAAACTTAGATTTACCTAGGACAGTTTTCCAATCACACCTACCCAGCAAGCCTAATGCTTCAATTCAGAAACTAAATTTTCTGAAGTACAATGAGGAGGAAGGAGAATTAACATTTTAGATAGTTGGCACGACATATAGAAACCACTTGGTATTATGTTTAGTAAGACCCTCTCTGGTGTTGTGTACATGTCTATTTGGGCACACGTCTATGTGTGTTTTGTGTGTGGCTCATTCATCAGCCTTGGCAGGCTGGTTAATGGCTGAATGAACACATGACACCCTTTGGTAGGACAGGCTCATTGATCATGTCGCAACCCTAGTAACAGTGTCCTTTACCTTTGCTCTTCTTTTATGAACAGATAGTTGTACTGGCTTACCAGAAATCCTACATGCTTCCTGGGAACTACATGGCTACCGCAGACCAACAAAAGACAGAATGTATGAAGTCGGGACTGTGTTGAAGTACAGCTGTCATCCTGGTTATAAAACCACTGGAAATAAGCCTACGACTGTGACTTGTCAGAGAAACTTGCTGTGGACCCCACATACAGAATGTGAGGGTGAGTTTCTGTTTTAAAAATATTTTACTATATTAAATGTCCAGCATATTCTAGGATTTTCTACGTTAAGTGAAAGTAATTGCATTACTCAAGATGAATTTATAATTATATTAATTCAACAAAATGACTGTTATTGCCAGACGAGACCATAAAGAGCTTGGAGTTTGAGGGGCCGAGAAATAATAACCTTCCCTTATCCCAGTTCAGAAGTCAAACATGATTCTAATTAAGTGTTAGCTTCATTACTGATAACAGGAGAATGGAGAATACAGTTTAACTATTGCCAAAGTCAGACATCCATTAGCCCTTTTAATCTGAATGTAGATTTTGGGGTGCTTGGTAGCAGGAAGTCTATGAAAGAGTCATGAACTTAACCAGCTGCAGGGTGGCCCGTGTCTCATGTCTCTTGAGCATGGGACTGTGAGCTGAAAGAACTGGATCTTACAACTGCCTGCAGCAGACAGACCCTGACCCCGCATTCTTGCCTCAGTAAGGGAGAAAGGAGACTTTCTCCAGTCTCACTAGTAGAAGATGTCTCTTCATTTTCTGAGAGGAGTGAGGGGCTGAAACACAAGTAGAAGAAATTTTATGATCCTCAGTGGAATTGACAACAGAGGGAGAAAATGCTTTCTTCACCACATCTATCAAAACCTTCCCATTTTAGAGGTGAAGACACTGAGACAAAGAATACAGGAAACTTTATTCTACAGATTGGAATTTGAAAAATGTGAAATGCATAAATAATGAAAAATGGTAGTTTAGATCAACCTATTGAAAGATTACTCATTTCATATTAGGACTTACAGTTTAATTGCAGTTATTCAGGCTCATTTTGGGGAAATTGAATAAAAGGTTTTAACAAAATTACTGAATTAAAAATATATTTAACAAAAATTATTGCCACAACTTACATACAAAGTATTGATTCATATGAGCCTTTGAGGATCTTCTTTAAAGAATAAAAAATAATAACATGTAATTAAGATGTTAATTTTTTATGTAAATGAATGTTTATACATGTTTAAAAACGACTTTGAAATTATATTTATTTTATTTAATATACTCTTATCAGTATGATTATTTAATAAAGGATATCTTTAACCATTTAAAAGGCAAAGTGAAATGGTATTTATCATGAAATCTGATTAAATGTGAATTTGGATTCATGAATTGAATATTTAAAAGTGTTTTCTACAGCCCTCATTGGTGTGGCTCAGTTGGTTGAGCATCATCTAATGGACCAAAAGGTCGTCACTTCCACTCCTGGTCAGGGCACATGCCCGGGTTGCAAGCTGGATCCCCAGTAGGGGTTGTGCAGAAGAAAGCTGATCAATGTTTCTCTCTCATCCATGGTTTTTTCTCTCTCTCCCTCTCCTTTTCTCTCTCTCTAAAATCAATAAGAACATATTTCTTAAAAAGCATTTTCTACAATGTGAAGCATTACATAAATATTGTTACAATTTAAAAGCCATATGACTATTAGGCATTTTTATTTTAATTCATAAGCAAATGAGTGCTGAGAGTACTCAAATATGACTTCAAGACCACATTGTAGTGCTGGTCAAGCTCCCGATATGGAAAATAGAGTATTTTATTCTCCTCTGATATTTTCTCTTTCATCAAACAATACCAAGTTCTATCTGAAAATATTTCTACTAATGAATAAAAAATTATATCCCTATATCAGCTCTTATTGCATTAAAAATAAAAGAATCTGAATGGCTATTTTTCTTAAAGTTGGCATGAGAAGAAAAACTTTTGCCATAGCAATATTTAAGTTTATTCCCATGCATTCACTGTCAGGTGGATATAAACTTTTTATTTTTTATTTTAAGGAATCTATTATTTTAAATTTTTAAAGAAATTTTCAAATAGAGTTGACATACATTATTATATTAGTTTCTGGTGTACACTCCAGTGGTTAGACATTATATAACTTACTCAGTAATCATCCTGATATCATTCTCATAAATCTTGTACCCGTCTGACACCATGCATGGTTATTAGAATATTATTGACTCTATTCCCTATGCTGTGCTTTACACCCCCATGACTATTTTGTAACAACCAATTTGTACTTCTCAATCCCTTTACCTTTTTCAACCATTCCCACAACCCCCTTCCCATATGGCAACTGTCAAAATGTTCTCTGTATCTATGACTCTGTTTCTCTTCTGTTTGTTCATTTTGTTTTTTAGATTCAATTATTAATAGATATGTATTTATTGCCATTTTGTTGCTGATATTTTTGATATATTTTTTCTTCTTAAACAAGGCCCTTTAACATTTCATATAATACTGTTTTGTGGTGGAGAACTCCTTTAGTTTTTTTCTTGTCTGGGAAGCTCTACCTGTCCTTGAATTTTAAATGATAGCCTTGCTGGGTAGAGTAGTCTTGGTTGTAACTCCTTGCTTCTCATCACTTTGAATATTTCTTGCCAATTCCTTCTGGCCTGCAAAATTTTTGTTGAGAAATCAGCTGACAGTTTTATGGGAGCTCCCTTGTAGGTAACTAATTGCTTTTTTCTTACTGCTTTTAGGATTCTCTCTTTGTCTTTTACTTCTGGCATTTTAATTATAATGTGGGCCTCTTTGGGTTCATCTTGTTTGGGACTCTCTGTGCTTCCTGGACTTGTATGTCTATTTCCTTCACCAAGTTAGGGAAGTTTTCTGTCATTATTTTTTCTTGCTCTCTCTCTTCTCCTTCTGGCATCCCCATAATGCAAATGTTGGTACACTTGAAGTTGTCCCAGAGGCTCCTTATACTATCCTCATTTATTTGGATTCTTTTTTCTTTTTGCTGTTTTGATTGGGTGTTTTCTGATTCCTTATCTTTCCAATCTCTGATTTGATCCTCTGCTTCATCTACTCCACTGTTGATTCCCTGTAATGTACTCTTCATTTTAGTGAATGTATTCTTCATTCTGACTGGTTCTTTTTTATGTTTTTTATCTCCAATTTTATGTTTCCTATCTCTTTGTTGAAGTTCTCACTAAGCTCATCTACTCTTTCACTAAGTTCATTGAGCATCCTTATAACCAGTGTTTTGAACTCTGCATCTAGTAGATTGCTTATCTCCATCCTGTGTAGTTCTTTTTCTGGAGTTTTGTTCTATTCTTTCATTTGGGATATGTTTCTTTGTCTCCTCATTTTGGCAGGCTCTCTGTGTTCATTTCTATGTGTTAGGTAGAGCTGCTACGTCTTGCAGGCTTGGTAGAGTGGCCTTATGTAGTAAGTGATCTGTGGGGTCCAATAGTACAGCCTCACAGATGACCCTGGGCACTTGAGGTTTGCCCCCATGTGGGCTGTGTATACCCTCTTCTTGTAGTTGAACCTTGATTGCTGTTGGCACATCAATGGGAAGGATTTACCCTTAGGCTGATCAGCTGCAAGGACTGGCTATGACCACCAACCAATGACCTCTAACTACTGTGGAGAATGAGCTGTGCAGGGGCCCACCCCACAGAGCAGGACTTACTTCAGGGCTCTGGTGCCCACTGAGTCTGCCTCTTGACTGTGTCATTTGTGGAGGTAGTTGGATGTGGTCTGAAGCTGTCCACTGGGTGTGCTGCTTCTGGGGCCTTCAGGTAGGTGCAGACCTATGCAGCTACAGCCTGTGCTCTGCCTGGGGTCACCCAGCATGAGACACAAATCAATCTGTGCTGGGCTTAAGAGGTGCCCAGGCAAGGCCAAGCTATAAACTAAGGCCAGCTATTGCTAGTGCCAGAACTGGCACCATTTAGTGAGAGGTATGGGACATGTTGAGGCCAGATCCTCCTTTTATGAGAAATTAGGAAAATCTGAAGCATGAGCTAAAACAGGCAATTCATTTTGAAAAGCCAGTTGAAACAGTTTGTTTAGGCCCAAAATTTGGGTGGGGTCGAAGGGAATCACTTGGGTGAGGAAAACAGTGTGAGCCAAGTTGATGGAGTCTCAGATATGGCATCCACCTGCTGGCTGTGTGTAGGGAAGGCTCATCAAAGGAATAATGGCTTCTGCCAGCACTTTTGTTTGGGAGAAAGCTGTCACCCAGCTCTTTCCCTGATACCATCCTCCTTGTATGTCTCTTGTGCCTTTTGAGGTGCTGCCCCAGTGTTGGAGCTCAGAGGGAGTGAGTCCAAGTAAATATGTGCATGGGCTTTTTAAGAGGAACTGCCTGGTTCTCCAGCAGCTTTTGCCTTACTTAGCCTCAATTCCTGCTGGTTTTTACTGCCAGAAGTTATGGAGAATTCTCTTCCTGGCACTGAAAACCTGGGCTGGGGTGCCTAGTTGGAACTGGGATCCCTTGCTCCACAGGGGGTACCTCCACAGCTGAGATGTCCCAACTGATTTTTATCTGTCACACGTGAATGTAGGACCACACCTCCATCCTTCCTCCCATGTGGCTTCTTCTTTAATTCCCTGTATTCAGTCAGATTTCAGGTGGTTCTGAATCATGGTGGTTCTGTAGTTTAGTTGCAATTTTGATATGGTTGTGGGAGGCGGTGAGTACCATCTTGACTGGAAGCTGATATAAACTTTTGAGAACATTCTTCCTCTGCACCTCGGGAAGTATAAATTATTAGGAAGCTTAATAATGATGTAATCCTAATGAAGCCATAAGGAAATAAATATTATTTGTCATTGCTCTTGAATAATTTTGAAAATTTACATTTTCATCCAGGTTTAATATAACTTCCCATTTTGGAGGTTCCTGAAAATTATTTCATTGGAAGGAAATGACTGGGGTTGAACTACTTTAGCAAATCAGGGACAGGGAATGAGGACTTAACATGTCTCGGGTACCCTTGTCTGTTTCCCCAATCTCTCTTCCATGGTGAGCTCTTCCAAAGGTAGAAATGAGATTATTAGCCATAGGAGCCTCCTTCTGGTGATTTACTAAGCATTAGCCTCACTTTTTATTTTTAGAGGTATGTTGCCCAGTACCAGAGCTGAAGAACGGCAAAATCCTCCATCAGAGAAAAAATCGTTTGCCCAATAGCTGTGACTATTTCTACGGCGACTCGATTTCATATTCATGTTATGAGAAACGTTACGCTGACGCTTCATGCCAAGGAGATGGCACCTGGAGTCCTGAAACACCAACATGTGATGAGAGTAAGAGCGTATGGAATTATGTTATTTGAGAAGTTTCTTCATATCTAAGTAATGGAGATTATTAAGGGACGGTTTCAAATTAGGTAAAAAGAATTTGTATACTCTGAATGATTTCTTGGAGTGGATACATTTGTTTAATAGCACTGTCTCCTGTCCAGTTTTCTCCCTTTTTCCTCCCAATGGTTGTTCCCATTTTCTTGAGCTTCCTGGTCTCCTTTTCTGAATCAGTGAAATTAGGCCACTAAACTGCATTCTGTTTCTTGGTATTTATTCTTTTCTCTTCCATTCTTTCTGGTGCATATTCTTTAACCTGAAAAACAAGACTCCCAAATCTATTTGAATCTGCTTTTCCAAACCTGCTTCCTTTCTTCTGTTGCCTCTAAGCCCTTCTTCAGACTATCTCTCAGTGTAAATACCTACCTCTCACCCACCAAGAGCTCGTAAGTGCTAAATACAATTCTTCCTTCTCCCATTGTTTTCCCATAACCCTATCTATCGATGATCAGAAACAGTTACCACTACCTGAATTTCTTGCCTTGTGAAGAAAAGGAGTTCAAAGGAGCTTCAAAGTGACCAGGCATCAGTTTCAGTTTAGAAATCAACTGGAATCTTATCTCCCCTGGTTGAAGTGTTTCCACTTTGCCTACTAAGGCTTTTCTATCTGCAGATCACAGAGCTCAGGGATTTGAAGCCCATTTTCTCCACAAGTTCACTTAGGGTGAATGTAAACGAGGCTACTTATGCTTACATCTTTTGGTTTCTGGGCTCAGGGATTTTATTTTTTTTATTGGGGACACAGTGCCATATAAAGGTCAATCTTTGATTTAACGTGAATACTGTGTTCTGGAAGATATTGTAAGTAATACCGAAAAGTCCCATGATTGTAGAGTATTGTTTCTCAACTGGCACTTCAGCTTTAACAGACCATTCCAATGTTCTAACAGGTCTGCAAGTTCTGAGTGACACAACTATAATTTATGTAGTACATTTCATGGCTGCGTCCCAATACCACACCTCTTTTGCCGTGATTGGCACATAGTGGGATCCTATGTCAATTGTTTAAACACTCTGTAATCCTTCAGATGACAGTGCTGACCGAAGTCTTTCAGACAGGAAAGGCAAGCCCCGTACCTAGAGTAGCTGTCTATTTTTGTCAGAATAAAAAGATGTCCCTTCCAGGTGGAAGGGGATCCAATGCAGTTATCTTACTACCAAGTGGCCTTTGGGTTGTTTCAAGGGATGGTATCATATCAGGGACTTAGCACTGTTGCTGGCAGGTTGGGTATTCAGTGACAGCAATTGCTAATCAGCCTTGGTAAGTAGGAGTCCATGCTGTTGGGTCTATGCTTGTCCTTCATCCATGCCACCATGGCCACTTTGTCCCTTTTCTCTTGTGACAGTCCTGCTGGGGCCAATGAGAGAGGGTGGCTGACTTCAACTTGCTGTGACATTAAATTTTTACCCAGTTGTTTAATGCCTCTTTAATTGGGGGTGCTTGGCTGGTGTTAGTTAACACACAAAATAAAAACTTGACACTTCCTGGCCACTCCCATATGTCCAGTCACTTGCTTCTACTCCAGATCTCCTTTTACCCGGTCTTCCAATCTTTGTCCTTAAGGGCTCTGACAGACAAGCCATTCACTCCAGGCCAGAAACCACAATTAAGTCTACCCCTTTTTCAAAAAATAGAATGACCAGGTGTACCACCGAAAGCTCTGCCTATCAGAAATATTTCCCCTTACTACTGACTTTTGAGACCACCCTGATTGGGCTCTAATGAAGCTTCCATCCAATTTAGCTTGCATACATATACCAAAAATATGCATCTCTGAACCAGGGTCAGGCTTTCCTCTGCTGGGTCATTTGCTAGTAATGGATACCCCCTATAGCCATAAGTGTGAGCCAGGGAAGAGGAACTAGTGCAACAGTGGATGGGAACAAGCAAGATGTGGGCTCCTTGTTTGTGCAACTTGCTTGTGCCATCTGGTCTTGCTCAGGCTCAATCCCAGGCGCTCCACTTCCATCTTATAATGGATTGTTGCCTGTCTGACCTTATTACTTGATGGGTCTGACAGACCCAGCTCATGATGTGTGATTCTGGCTGCATAGTTACTTAATGACCCATGGTCAAGAGCTGTATCTATCAAGATTAGATAACATGCCAGGAATTATATTTCAAAAAGTACATAGTTCTCTGCTGCAGTGCATGGCCTTGCTTCAGTATTTCAAGGGTCTATGGTGTGATTAGCCCATTGACATTTGCATCTTTTCCTACTATAGCCACCTCAGTACACTAGGCTCTGCAGGGTCCTAGGGCCAAGCAACAGGGATGATTTCACTGCTGACTGGACTTGCCACAGAGCCCTCTCCTAACTTGGGCCCCATTCAAACCTGACAATCTTTTGTGTCACCTAGCATATGGGCTGGAATAGTATCCCCAAGTATGGAATATGCTGCCTCTAGAATCTGTAAAGGCCTGCTAGGCGTTGTGATTTCTTCTTTTGTGGTGGGATTTACAATTTACAATAACCTGACACTAGTTTAGATGGGATAGCCTAGCATGCCCTGAGCCATGGACCTCTAACAATTTAGTAGAATTAACATGATGCCATTGATATACTGGATTAATGTCCAGATGCTCATAACTTCAGACTCTATTATGAGAGAGGAGGGTGAGTTTTCATAGCCCAGGGCTAAAACTGCAAATGTATGATCTTGACCCTTCCATGTGTATGTGGACTGTTTCTGATCTTCTTTTCTGATAGGATGGGAAAGAAAGTCTTTACTAAATCAGTGGCCTCATTTGTCTGAAGACATATTAATCTGCTCTAGCAAAGATACCACATCTGATACAGCGGCTGCAATAAGGGCTAAAATGTTGAGTTTTCAATAGTCTACTGTAATTGTTCAGAATTCTAATTTTTGTAATAGACAGACAGGGGAAATAAATGGAGATATGATGGGAATGACCACTTCTGCATCTTTAGTTCTTTAAGAGTGGCATTAATTCCTCCCTTCCCCCTTACACATATATGTATGTATTTTAAAGTAAATTTATTGGAGTGACATTGGTTAATATGATATATATTTTAAATTTACTTTCTTTGCTTCAAGAGGGAGGGGTCTGGGTCAGATCAATGGTTTCTACTTGGCCTTCTTGGATATGAATGGAGGTCAACAACCCAATATGGAGATTGGACCAACTACTAATTTTGTTTTGCAGATTATACTTTCAAAGATGATGGAAATGACCACCATGTGGTCTAATAGGATGCCATGAGGCTTACAGGAGGGCAGCACAGGTACTGGGTTTGGCTAAGTGATCCTGTGGGCAGAGAATATGTCAGGACAGGGCAAAACCTCCTACAAACCACACAGATTCTGGGATGTGCTGTTTCTTCTGTTCCATAAGCTCAAGCTCTCTCACTTTATGCCTTACCACCAAGGTTGCAGTTATCCTCCTACCATTGACAACGGACATCATACAAAAGTTTCAGGGTTGTTTCAAACTGTGGAGGTGAAATATGAATGTGACGAAGGATACGCTCTGGTTGGAAAGCGCACACTCACCTGCAGTTCTTCACGCTGGTCAGGTCCAGCCCCTCAGTGCAAAGGTAACTCCAGCCCATGGCTAAGAGGGTGGAACTGTCATGAAGGGATTGAGAATAAAGTTTCTTTCCAACCCGAGGCAGAACAAAAACACTTGATTTTATTTATTTATTTTCAATAATTACTATATTCGAATTGTACCCAAAGCAAAAAGGTACAAGGTGCATACAGAAACACTAATATCTCCTCCTTCTTTCTCCCAGTTACAAAATTCAGCCTCCTTGAGGCAGCCCCTAGTCCCACTTTCTCAGGTATCTCTGGCAATAGTCTACAGGTGGTACATTTTCTCTGAGTGCAGCTGTGGCCCATAGCAAAATTTTCATGGAAACTGGCTCTGGCACAAATGTAGGCTCTCAGGGGCTAATTCCAAACACCAGGGATCGACAAGTATTTCCATCAGGGCCTCATTTAGTGCAGGGCTCCACCTGCCAATGCCGCAGGCGTGTGGTGTGGGAGTCCCAGTTTGCAACCTGTTGTCCGGACAGGAAGAGTAAGATCGGGTCTGATTTTTGCATGCACACAGGTTTAATATCACTTTGCCATCAACAACTCCAGGAATTATTTGTCACCACTGTCTCCATCGCATACAGGAGGATACTAGACAAGAGGGAAAATATTATCCCTAATGTTTTGTAGGAATCACAATATGAGGGATTCTTGCTTTGACAGCTGAGAGTCTGGGGTCATGTGCCTTTCTTGTACCTGGTCATGTTATTTAAAGATGTTATGTCTTGAACAAGTTTCTTAACCTCTCTGTATCTCATTGTTTCCTATATAAATGGTAATGATAACAGTGCTCACTTCACAGAGAAGAATGAGATTTAAATGAGATAATCACATAAAATGTTTAGCCCCGAAGACTGATATGAGCCAATGCTCAATAAACACATGAACTAATATTACCGCTATCAAAATAAAAAAAAGATACAACAATTAGCATGACCTACATGTAGTTTGTTTCAATAATCTTAGCCTATTCTCATGTCTTTTTGCTTAGATTTACAGATTGCTTAACTGTGCTTTCATTGTAGCTGTGTGTCCGAAACCAGAGATAGAACATGGAAAGCTGTTAGAAGACAAGGATCTGTTTGTTGAATCTGAAAATGTCACCATCCAGTGTAATTCTGGCTACGGTGTGGTCGGTCCCCAAAGTATCGCCTGCTTAGGAAACAGTGCCTGGTACCCAGAGGTGCCCAAGTGTGAGTGGGTAAGTAGAACAATTCAAGGAAGTTCCTGTGCTATCAAACCCTAAAAATGGCGTCACCCCAAAGTACTGTCGCAGCCACCAAAGGTGAGATCTGACTTGCCAGGGCTCATTTCTGAGTCACTCAAAAGAACTCTCTTGTTTTCCCTTGAAGCTCTCTGGTCAGTTAGGATGGCAAGTTTTCCTACTCTCACTTGAGAGCAGGAAAAACTGAGTCCCTTAAGGAGTGGAGTTTCTCAGAGACCTGGGAGTATTGACTCCTAAGTTTCCTTTCCTAGACTATATAATACAGTGTGTCCCATTTCTGGATGGTTAGCCAAAATAGCCTCTGTCCCCACAGAGACCTTCTGGGAAGCTGTCTCAGAACAGATCTAAATTGCTCTGGGGAAGACTATGGTGGGGCCTGAGGTGTTTCCTGGTTTTCCTGCTCTCCCATCACTCCTGGGGTTGGACTTGGACCTGATCTTCTAGTCCTGCACTGTCAGGCTCTGGGGAGAAGCCTCTCACCCACACTCACCACTGTATGTCTTTTAGGAGTTCCCTGAAGGCTGTGAGCAAGTTAAAGCAGGCAAAAAACTTATGCAGTGTCTCCCAAGACCAGAAGATATGAAAATGGCCATGGAGATATATAAATTGTCTTTGGAAATTGAAATCCTGGAACTACAGAGAGACAAGGAGAGGAAATCCGCTCTGGAGTTGAAACTGTAGTTTTTCCTAGAAGAGAGAGACAAAGGTGCCTTCCTCCCTTCCATTCAATATGGGTCACTTTCATTTAGCTACCACACTTCATTGTAATAAATATCTAGAAAGGATAATTTGCCTTTTTTTTTTTTGCTAGTGCTTTGAGATTATAGAATTTTTGATAATCGTGTAGCTCACATTTTCGCTTTTTTAAACACAAAGTGCACATTTTTTCCATTAAAAATTTACTTATCAAACATAATTCTGTCTTTGTGGTCATTAGGACTCTGTGAAATGAGGTCCACAAACAAACCTAAAAATTCATTTAAGCAAAGTTGCTACATTTATTTTATTGAGTGGGTCTTGCATACGGGCTTGGGTTCACATCAGTTCCATTTCCCTGGATTGCCTTCACTCCATAGTTCCACATGTGCAAATCACTCAGGTCCTCAGTCTTTAAATTAAATATCACCCCCCCCCCCC